ATCTACCCCAGGTTTCCCCTCCTTTGCCCCCCAAGAGCCACTCCCCTGTCCTTCCCCCGTTGGCTGTGTGGTTTTCCCCATCCTCTCTCTATCTGGCTGCTCTGGGTGGGCCTCCCTCTCTTTCTCCTTCGAAGCTGGATGTGGCTGGGGACCTCTCCAGGCTCTCATTAAACTTTAGAACTAATCCTGAGGGAGAGCGCCTCTTTCCTTTGCTTGTGGGACCAGCTCGTCTTTGGACTCACGTGGGAGCTTCTCCAAGCCCCCCGGGATCCAAGGAGAAGCTCCTTCCCTCTGCCTGCCTCGCCCCACTGCCCAGCTGGCCGGACTCCACAGGGGTTTTGTCCCCGTGGATTCAAGGGAGGGACGCAGCATTACAGGAGTGACAGCAAGTGACAGCGAGCTGGTCATTGCGAGGCTGGAAATCAGGGTGGTGCAAAAGGAGCAGGGACGGGGGCTCCTCTGCCACCTCTGGCACAGCCCCAGCGGGCTCTGGGCAGCACCCTGCAGCTCTGCAAGCACCCACAGCCGGGCTGGGCTGAGTGGGACTGATCCCCAGCCTGTCCCCAGCCCAGTGCCACGTCCTGTCGCTGCTGGGCAGCTCCAGGGCAGCCCAAACCTCCGTGAGGAAATCCCTCCTGATGTCCCAGGAGCTCCCCTGGCACACCCTGAGGCCGTTCCCTCCTGTCCTGCCCCGGGAGCACAGCCTGACCCCGCCTCACTCACACAGAAAAGTGCAGGGAGCTCTTGGAATGTACTTCCAGAAAAAATGGGATTAACTGCCTGGAGAGCTCCCAGAGAAATGGGGCAGAGGCAGAAGTTGGCCTAGTACTCCTATTGTTATTATTATTATTATTATATAACCCCAAGAGAGAGCAACAATTTGAGCCCCTACCAGCAGGATTTGATGCTTTTGCCTCTGCCCGTTCTCAGAGACAGGACGCACAGCTTTCACAATATTGCTCAGGTCCACACCTAAAAGGGGAAATAAAACCAAGATGAATATTGGTTCCAGGATAATTAGAGTCAAATAAACCGTATTAGTTCCAGTTCTAGGGAAAAGCTGCCAAGGTAACCACAGAGAACAAAGATGAACTTGTGAAGATGCTGAAGTGATCAGGGTCAGATTCTGCCTGGAACAAAGCTGGATGTCATTTGAGGGGGGAAAAAAATAGAAAAGAACTTAATTTCACTGACCAAATTTTGCCCTCCAGCTTCCCTCTAAGCAGTTTTGCAGCCATGATTAACCCACAGATGGTTGGGCATTAACTGAGCATTAATGGTGCCTGTGTTCCACTTCACAAAGGCTCCTTTGCAGTGCTGCAGGACTCCTTTAAACCTCCGAGATTTTCCAGTTACCTTGGGACTGGAACTGCTGCACCGCCTCCCTCACGGCCTCCTCGGGCTCCATCTGGAACTCGGTGATGTTCTCCTGCACCGCCTCGTCGAACGTCTCCTGGGCGATCTGCCGGGAGCCCATNGGGGCTCCTCTGCCACCTCTGGCACAGCCCCAGCGGGCTCTGGGCAGCACCCTGCAGCTCTGCAAGCACCCACAGCCGGGCTGGGCTGAGTGGGACTGATCCCCAGCCTGTCCCCAGCCCAGTGCCACGTCCTGTCGCTGCTGGGCAGCTCCAGGGCAGCCCAAACCTCCGTGAGGAAATCCCTCCTGATGTCCCAGGAGCTCCCCTGGCACACCCTGAGGCCGTTCCCTCCTGTCCTGCCCCGGGAGCACAGCCTGACCCCGCCTCACTCACACAGAAAAGTGCAGGGAGCTCTTGGAATGTACTTCCAGAAAAAATGGGATTAACTGCCTGGAGAGCTCCCAGAGAAATGGGGCAGAGGCAGAAGTTGGCCTAGTACTCCTATTGTTATTATTATTATTATTATATAACCCCAAGAGAGAGCAACAATTTGAGCCCCTACCAGCAGGATTTGATGCTTTTGCCTCTGCCCGTTCTCAGAGACAGGACGCACAGCTTTCACAATATTGCTCAGGTCCACACCTAAAAGGGGAAATAAAACCAAGATGAATATTGGTTCCAGGATAATTAGAGTCAAATAAACCGTATTAGTTCCAGTTCTAGGGAAAAGCTGCCAAGGTAACCACAGAGAACAAAGATGAACTTGTGAAGATGCTGAAGTGATCAGGGTCAGATTCTGCCTGGAACAAAGCTGGATGTCATTTGAGGGGGGAAAAAAATAGAAAAGAACTTAATTTCACTGACCAAATTTTGCCCTCCAGCTTCCCTCTAAGCAGTTTTGCAGCCATGATTAACCCACAGATGGTTGGGCATTAACTGAGCATTAATGGTGCCTGTGTTCCACTTCACAAAGGCTCCTTTGCAGTGCTGCAGGACTCCTTTAAACCTCCGAGATTTTCCAGTTACCTTGGGACTGGAACTGCTGCACCGCCTCCCTCACGGCCTCCTCGGGCTCCATCTGGAACTCGGTGATGTTCTCCTGCACCGCCTCGTCGAACGTCTCCTGGGCGATCTGCCGGGAGCCCATCTTGTGCCACTGAAAAGAAAACGTTGTAAAATCACGGGGTTTAGGGTTAGCAGGAAAATTAACCTTGGCAGGCCCTGAGAAAACACCCTGGGAACATGTAGGCCTCGTACCTGCTGGAACTGCACCTGTGTAGCTAGTACAGGATAAACGATGTAATTGCTAGATATGATGATTGTTTAATAATTAAATATAATTACTAAATAATATAATAATAATATAAACACAATAAATAATATTTAATAATAAATAATGATAAATAATAATAAATAATAAATATAATCATGAGAAACTGTGGTCCGAAGCTTAAGAGACATCACGAGAAACTCATGCTTGAATAAAGTCACTGTATACAACAGAACAATGTAAGTGTGAAAAACGCGTATTTTATGATTGGCTTTTTGCACGTATTACAATGAATATTGTATGCGCAATGTTAGAAAGTTATGCTGTATTAATTCTCTTAAGTAGTGCGTTAAATATAGCTTTAGGTTCCAACATACTGTTAAAATAGAGACTATGTATGTGGGGGAAGTTTTTTTTTAGGAATAGGATACTCGCTTCAAGGAGCACCTAAATGAGTTTAATCATTCAGATAAAAGTTCTATAAGGATATAACACAAAATACGTCCAGCTCGAGAGCCGTGTCGGAGACAAAACCTGAAACAGCATCAACGACACCCAACCGACTGCCGGGCTGATTCAGCGGGGAAAACGCGGCCGGGAAGAGGAAGAAGGAGATATTCCAGCAGCATTTAATGGATTTTGTGCGATTTCTGCACCGTGAGGCGGCTCCCGCTGCAGCGCCGAGGGCGCCGCGCCCGGCCCTCAGCCCGCCCGCCCCGCTCCGCTCCCCCGGGCACCCCGCACCCCTCGGCGCTCCCGGGAGGCGGGGAGAGCGCCGGGGAGCACCGGGGAGCGGCGGGGAGCGGCGGGGAGCGGCGGCCCCGCTCCCCTCACGACCCACCTGCGCGGCCGCCGCACGAACCGCACGAACCGCGCGGCGCCACCCGGCCCCACCCGGCCGCCGTACGCGCGCCCCGCGCATGCGCCCGCGCCCGAATTCGCGCCGCTCGCCCTCACGCCTCGCGAAAAAGAGCGCGGGGGGCGGCACCGCGCATGCGCGCCGCTCCCGCCGCTCCCGCCGCTCCCGCCGCAGCGCGCCCGGCCGCGCCCGGCCGCGCCCTCAGAGCCGCGGGCCGCTCCCCTCGCTCCCGCCGCGCTTACCGGCAGCGCGCCCGCGCCGTTAGCACCGCCCCGCTCCCGCCGCCGGCGCAGGGGGATGAGGCGGCGCCGCTCCGCGCAGGCGCGG